GCTGACAGTGAGTTCAGGCTTTACGAAGCTTGATTGAGGCTTGGCCAGTATTGGTTGAAGATTGATGGGACAGCGAAAGCAAGGCTGCTTGAGTCCGGAATAGTAACATCGATGTAAACCTGACGCTCAGTCTTTGTTGAAGACTGGCGTTCAATCTTCAATCAATGCTGCGGAAGCCGAAAGCAGGACTGAACAAGACTGCTTCCACTGTTCCCAAATTTACACGCTTCTCACGCGTTCATTCAATATAACGTGAATATATTAATTATTATTATTAATAATAAACAGTATTGTTATTAATATATATGTATTTACATATTTAATGACAATAAGTTATTATTATAATAATTATATTATTTTCATATAAATATCATATTACTAACAATAAATGTCATTTAACATAATAATATTGAAAAATAATTTTAGCAAAAAAAGACAATTTGTGATAATTGGTACATTTTTTAAATTCATTCTTTAACAGACTTTTAATATTATTTTTACAAACAAGTTCACAAGTTTTTTTTCACAACACTTATTAATTATACAGATTAAATAGTAATTTTATTATTTTATGTAAACGCTTATAATGAAAAAATCTGCTCGCATGTGGGATCGAACTCACGTCCCCCCGCCCCAGACGCATTCCGGAAGTCCTTGACGCAACCACTTAAACCGCACGGCCACTGAGTCTCGATGAGAACTCGGGCTAATCTAATATATTAATGCCAGTGCCGTATATTTTGTTACTTATAAGGGCAAAGTGAAAACTATGACTAAAAATTTCACACATACTAATCCTGAATTATTTTAATTATTAAAAATGAATATTAAATAACTCATAATAAAATTATAATCATTACAAAATTCAACTTTTAAAACATTTTAAAATTAAAAATATTTAATGAATAATTTAATAAACATCGATAAATAATTGATATTTTTTATTATTCAGTAACAAAATTATTAACATTTATTATTAGATATATTAATAATATATTATTTAAATAAATATAATTTGGAATAATAATGAATTATAATGTTAAATATTATAATTATTATTAATTATAATAATATTTATTAATTCAATAATAATTATTAATAAATAAATAATAATTAATTAAATTAATATTAAAAATTAACATAATTAATAAAATTATTAAATATGATGCAGTGTCAGGAATATTTATTGCACATTTTAATTATTATTTATTAATTATCTATAATACTTTTTAAAACATTTATAAAAAAAAATTTCCCATTTAACTTTTTTTAAATATGAAAGTTACAATTAATAATATATTTATACTAAATAAATATAAATATTTATTTATCAATTGATAACTTAATGTTAATTATTATTATTATTTGAAACAATTATTATAATTATTATAATGTTATTTAATTAAGTGAACACGGTAATAAATAAAGATAAACTGAATATTGTGTAAAGATTGATTCAAGCTTGAATCAAGAATAGATGTTCGAGCTTCACTCATAAAGATTGACCGAGTCTTGAATCGAGCATGGGACGAGCATTGGGCCCAATGTTGAACCAATATTGAACTAATATTGAGTGACAGTGATGTAAGGACTGCTTCTACTGTGGGTTACCCACACTGAGCGTTCAAGACTCAATCAAACTTTAATTTATCGTCAGCATTGGTCTTTCGCGCCTGGCATTCGGGGGTTTTTGAGGTCTCTGAATCCAAATATTTAGTCAAAAATTCAAAATTCCAAATGGCGACCAAAAAAATTTAAAAGTTTACGGATTTGACTAAAAATGTTTACTTGGGGGTTTTTGAAGTCGCTGAATTCGAATATTTGGTTAAAATTTTTTAATTCAAAATGGCGGCTTCAAAATGGCGACTAAAAATTTTTTTAAGTTCACGAATTTGGCTGAAAATGCTCATTCGGGGGTTTTTGAGGTCTCTAAATCCAAATATTTAATCAAAAATTCAAAATTCAAAATGGCGGCTCCAAAATGTCGACCAAAAAAATTTAAAGTTCTCAACTTAGTTCTTAAAACTTAAAGCAGAGGAATTAATATGTCCGATGTTTTAAAACATTGTAAAATACTCAAAATCGATCTATATTAAAAAATTTAATAATAGTAATTAAATTAAATAGTTCGTGACTCCGGATTCGACTAAGAGCGGTGTTTTAAATAGTTTGTGTAAATATATATATATAAATATAAAAATATAATATATGCGTAAAATATATTATACATATATAAAAATATAAAATTTTAAACCCCAAAAGACTCAAATAACTATTTATAACCACATTCGTAAACTTTTAAATTTTTAGTTGACATCTTGAAGTCGCCATTTCGAATTATAAAATTTTAACCCAATATTCTAATTCAGTGTCTCCAAAAACCCAAAATGCTCATTTCTAGCCAAATCCGAAAACTTTAAAATTTTTTCGGTCGCCATTTTTAAGCCGCCATTTTGAATTTTAAAAATTCAACCAGATATTCGAAATCAGCGACCCCAAAAACCCCCAAGTGAGTATTTTTAGTCAAATACGGAAACTTTTAAATTTTTAAGCCGCCATTTTGAATTTTTTAATTTTGATCAAATATTCGGATTCAGCGACCCCGAAAACATAAAATATAATAATATCAAGTAATTAAAAAAAAATTTTTTTTGCACATTTGTGGCACGAAAAGCTTATTTTGACTACACTGCTAAGGGGTTAAAAAGTAATTTTAAAAATAGAAATAAAAAATGATTTTTAATTAAATAATAATTGAAGTGAATAACATTTAAGGATGATTCTCCGCGTAGCGCACAATTTGGATTTTACTATTATTGATAAAATTTTTTTTAAATTAAGTAAAAGTCGATATAGAATTTTAAAGTTTAACATTCAAGAACGAAATATTCGTGGTGAGCCAGACAAAATAATTGTAATTTTCTTTTTTACAATAAACACCCATGTAAAGTTGCGATTACACCATGACGGTCTGATTCGACCATGACGCACAAGAAAAACTAATTTTTTAAGCAAATTATTATCGATTTCAAAAATTCTTTTTTTCCACGTCTTTTGTTTTCACTAACCTTAGACTACTAAACTTGTTTTGACGTAAAATATAAATAATTATTCATTTTGTTGCAAATATATTATGATTCGACCATGACGATTCTGTGACTCCCTTTCATGCTTGTAACACATATAAAACAGAAAAAAAAAATTTTTAAATTAATTTCTCTTTTAATAATTTATTTAGGAGAGTTTATTGCTGCTTTTTATGAATGTTGAGCAATTTTTCGATTTGATTTTTTATGTAAATTATGCAATTTTACAAAGTGATTATACCATATGACGCGAAAACGAGAGACAAGAAGTAACTACAAAAATATTAAAAAATAAATTTTTTTTTTACAAGTGTTTTGTTTTTCTCAATTCTACTAACTTAGACAATAAGAAAATGTCAATATTCATTATATTTATTATTATATTTTACTAAAAAAATAACATTTTACACGGAAAAAAATTAATCTCTAAATTAGAGATTAAATCTGAGATTTAGGCATAAACTATCACTGGAATCGGACGTAAGATGTAAGCAGATCACTAAAACTGAAATTTGGTATTATATCTAATCCGAATATTAGTATTGTGAAGAACACGTATTTCTTATGCCTAAAAATGATATTAGGAATCTCAAATTTTAAGACATGGAACATATGTTCTGGCGACTGGCAGTAAACCGCTTCTTGTTAACTGTCATTACATTACTTTCCAATTTTAAATTTTACAACCGCGTTTCTGCATGAATTTAAACAATCTTTTGAATTTAGGTTATTAAGAAGATAAGAATCTTCTTAATAACCCTTTATTATCTTACTAATAAATATTATTAATTAATCTTATTATTTCTTTATTATCTTTATTATCTTTATTATCTTTATTATCTTTATTATCTACCTTTATTATTATCTTTATTATCTTACCCGTTGTATATTGGCATGTTTTGTAAAAAGTGTCTGTGTTTAGAGAAAAAATGGTTGAAAAATGTTTATTTACCTATTTCACGTCATATAAATCAGTCAGTGCCGTATTTTGTCGGGCGATAATTGTAACCTTAAAATTTCACAGACCTTTCAACGCCGATAAGTCTAATAAATAAAAATATATGTTCCACGTGATGACGAGAAAAACATTCATAAAATACGGAAAATGAAAACTGTAATTGTATGTAATTCATATAAAAAAAAGTTGTGAAATTAACAAATCTCTAAATCAGAGATGTGAATTTATGGCGTTTTCTGGTATAAAGTTTGACAGAATCAAACACAACTTATCACAGTAATTGTGACTATAATGTTTAATTTAGATACACTTATATTTCATTGGATTTGAAATTAATATTATTTCAAGTTTAGAGATTAATTTTTTTCCGTGTATATATGAAATGTTAGTAGGGACTGATTACACCATGACGTTTTAGCACCTTAAAACAGATTTTCAAGCAAAATTATAAACTTTTAAATAAAAACGACAATAGACTTTTATTTGTCATCATGGAAATTAATTTTCCACGTTGAATTCATTACAATATATGAAACTGATTTCTTAAAAAACACGAGGGACATTAAATTCTGCGCTACGCGGAGAATCACCCTTAATCATCTACTAAAATTTCATCTACTAAAAATAATGGTAACAAAGAGAATAATGTAAATAAAAAAGTTTGTTTATTTATTCGGACGATGCTGCATAGGTAAAGGGACGCTTAACAATTAATGATTGCATCAATAATGAAAATTTATATTATCTGGTAGATTAATCTAGTCGCCATGTCTACAATTTAACAGTCAATCTCTAGAATAATAAAAAGGGTTTAAAAAAAATTGTAACAATAGTGAAGGGTGTTTCTCTCCCTTGTGTGTTTAAAAAAATGGTGTATCAACAAAGATGTGTATTCTGTTTTGATTTTAATTTTCTTAAATATTAAAAATAGAAGAAAAGAAGGGTAGATTCCGTACCTTACAAGCAACTCTCTAAGAGTGGCTTCGTCGTCCTCTTGTACTTCTTCCTGCGTCTCATTACTGAATGGACTGCGGGCAAAATGATGACGCGTTGGCCTAGAACTAAAGCGGGGAATCCGTCCCCCGTGATGATACGTGGTAGTCGTGGTGGTGGTTGTTGTCTGAAGATATCGGGATGAAACTTTTCGCCCTCTCGTCAGCTTGAGTGTTGTTGAACCCGCATCGAATGCGGCATGAGGCCCAGACTCCCCATAACTCCCGCGCACTCCATATTTCTCCTCCACCCTGGATACGTTATCAATATTATTATTATTAATTTGAGGATTATGATGATGATGTTGTTGATGATGATGATTTGTGCTTTGATTTTTTCTTCTTAATGTTGCCGCTGACGATGTTGTACGTCCGTCTTCTTTTCTTCTACTACGACGCACGCGTTGTTGTTGTTGTTGCTCTAAACCACGATGTGGAATTATTCGCGGACACTGATCCTCTGAATCCTGCGGTCCCGAGAGACTTGATATATCCTCGTATAGACACTCGGAATCAATGTCAGACGATGCCACTCCTGACGCGACACTCCACAGTTGATTTATTGGTTTGAAGCCGCGTGAATCGGCCATCGTTCGTGCTGATCGGGAAAATAAAGATCAACACAACGTGTCCTTAATCACTTTGTTCAAGAAATTCATATTTTTTTTAGTTTGAAAATTTCGTGAATTTGTGTCTTTTATTAGTTGTGTCAGAAAACTGATAAAAATATTTTTTTTCGGGAATATTTTCTATGAAACAAGTTTTTCTAATTTGGAAAAATTTTTCAAGGGGGGGGGGGGAATTCTCTATTGACGAAAATAGTCTAACAAGAAAAATAATCAATTATTTCATTATTAATTAAACTATGTTAATTATAATTCTTGTTCCCTGCTAATGATAAAATATTTTTTTTTGGAAATGATTTCTATTAATATTAATAATACTATTAATAGTATAATAATATTAATAATACAGGGTTGACATAAGTCAGGAAAAGTAGAGTTGGTCAGGAAAATCAGGGACAAGTCAGGGATTTTTAATAAAAGTACTGGAAAAAATTTAATTTTTAGAATTCATAAGAAAATTCTTAATTTTGGTGCCTGTTTGGTTTGCCTTATAAACTATTAATTGAATTTTAAAAGAGTTGCATTTATAATTTTCATAAATAAATGAATTATATATAGGGTAAGGGGCCCCAAGGTGGCCACCCATCTTTTAAACGACTGTACCCAGGCGGAAATTTCCAACCGGCGCGGATCCTAGCCCGTACTGACGCCGGTGTAACTGTACTGGCTGGGAACCGCCTGCCAACCGAATGTGAACGGGCATTCTACCGAATAGTGACTAGGCCAGGAGCGCGCTGGCAACCGGCTCGGAACTGGCATTCTATCGCCCGCTGACCGGCCGGGAGAAGCCGTTCCGTGTATAATTCAACCGGCTGGGACCTGGCACTCTACCGACCGTGGATTTTTCATTTAATAGCCAGCCGAGCGCTGGCATTCTACCAACTGACAACCGGATCGGATCCAAATGATAATTTCAACAAATATCAATAAAAAAAATAATAATTAATTGCAAAAGATAAATACTGATGACAATTCATTGACAGTTCACTTTACACATTTTTTTTATTTTTTTATATACTTAAACGCAATTTTTTATTACATACACATTTGAAAAATCCTAACGCTTGGAGGTACGAACCTACGCCTAACCGAATATTTACGCACCGAAATCTCGCACGCTAACCACTATGCTACGCTCGCATGGGACTCTCAAATCTTAAATACTCTCAAGTGTCACAAGCTGAAATAAAACTTGTCGAATAACTACGCGTCAATGCTACAGCTATATTTTTATTATTATATAATATATTAAATAATTGTATCTCAATATAATAATATTGAACATAATAATATTAATAATTTTAATTAATATCACAACAATAATAAATTTATTATCATTGAGATATTATTAATTAACATTAATATTATTGAGAATTAATAATAAATTATTAACATGAATATTAATATTTATTAATATTTATTAATATTAATAATTTATTATTAATTCTCAATAATATTAATTAATAATATCTCAATAATAATAAATTTATATTAATAGTATAAATTTATTTATAATAATTATAAAGTATAAGTGCACAACAAATTGTTTTAATTGTTTAATTTTGAAAAAAGTCTCAATAAATAATTACTTAATATTTTGATTATATTCATTTATTAATTAATCATTATTTTCTAAAATAATGCAATTAATTATTGTAATAATTATTTAGTTATGACACATTTATTGAAAATAAATTTATAATGTGATTTATAATGTGCCAATAAATGACGACATCCGCAGTCGGATCCGGCCCAGCACCGAGCCAGTACAGACTTAACATATCCGTCATTCTTCCGACGCCGCAGAAGAAAAAGATCCGCCGGCGGAAGAAATCCAGTACCGAGCCAGTACTGACAATAGTGGGAAGACGGATCCGACAGTCGGAGCATAATCTGTACCGCGCCGGTTGCTTTTTCAGATCCGAATCGGTACAGACCGTCGGTACTTGCGGTCTGTACGGGCGCGGATCCCAGCCGGTTGTAAATTCCGACATTCGTCCGACTTTTCCGCCTGGATAATTCCTAAACGGTTATTTATCCTATATTTCATACATTAAAAACTAAATTATTTTATTATTCATCATAAAATTTTCCAAATCGATAAACTTTACATTTTGCATAATATATTTTGATAAATATTGCATCGTAAACAAATTAAAAAGTGATTTTACATAAAAACGCATGGTGGCCACCTTATAGGGCCAGGACGACATTTTTTAAAAGTTATCAAAAAATTGTATAACACACAATTTTATCGATATTCATAATTCATTTATAATATTATTGTATTATTATGTAAACAAAATTACCACAAAGTTTAGAATTTTTAAACTATTAACTGTAATCACAGTACCACTTTAAAAACAATGCTTTCAAAATTTTTTTACCGAAATTTAACGATATCTCTGTTAGAAACAAACGCGTTTAATCATATCATATAACGTCTAAACATATCCAAAACCTTTGTCTTCATAAACAATGAAAATAACTTGAAGCATTCAGTGCTGCCCAATAATGCACAAGAATTTCCTTTTCTTTTTTTCTTCTTCGCCCACTACCCTATAATAAATAAATTTTTGAAAATTGTTGGCAAAATTCTAATTATTATCAAAAATTTTCCTCAATTTAACGATTTCCAATAAAAATTTTCCAAAAGAATTCAATTATTTAAACAAAATTTTGACAAAATTCTACGTAAAACATTTAATAATTCTCTAAAGATTTCAATTACTTTCAAAACTTTAAACAAAATCCTCTTTATAAAAATCCAATTATTTTGAATGCAATTTTAATTAATTTTTTCGAAAGACTTTAATTGTTATCATAAATTATGTAAAATGATAGGCAATATAAAATTTTTTGCAAGAATTGAATTATTTTGATAAATAATATAATTTTTCACCACAAATTATTACCTATTTATTATTATTATTTATAATTATCAATTATTATTTTATTATAATTAAAATTTTTTAAATAATTGAATCTTATTGAGAACATTTTTTTAAAATTGTATTAAAAATAATTGAATTCCTATACGAAAAAGTTTTATTAAAACTTTTAAAAATATTTGTGCTTCTGCAAAAATTTTGATATTTGTGAAAATAATTGAATACTTGCCAAGAATTTTATTAAGATTTTTCAAAATAATTGAATTTCTGCAAAGATTTTTAGTTTTTAATTTCTGAAAGTAATTGAAGATCTGCATATAATTTTTTTTATTTTTTATTTGTGTCAAGAATTTTATTCAAATTTTTGAAAATAATTGGATTTCTGCGAATTTTTCACAGGAATTTAATTATTTTTGAAAATTTTAATAAAATTCTTCGCAAGAATTCAATAACACAGGCCTACAAAATTTAGAATTTTGTCAGACCCACAAACGGGATAAGTCATTTCCGATGTAATTTGTCACCCTGAATCCAAAACTGGCAGCGAAATTGCTCTATCACGTCAGGATTCTGAGATATTCTAACCTAAAAGAGTAAAAAAGGCCATTTTTGGCAACATTCGACTCTCAATAAAATCCACAAAAAATTTTTTTTATCATTCGAACAAATTTTAAAGGAAAGTACAATTATTCACCTTTCAAAATATTCTACACCCGATCCGATCCGACTTTTTTTCACTAAGGTACAACAATTTAAAGTTTAGGTTACACGACCTAAAAACTGAAAAAACGAAGAAAAGAATAATTGGAAAGGACTTTAACTTAAGCATCTGATTCTTAATATTTTGGTATCGTTGATTAGAAAACCGATGTCGGATTTTAAAAATTCAAAATGGCGGATCCAATATGGCGGCTGTCAAAATAAAAAATTGATCGGATTCGCTTGAAACTTTTTACTCGGGGGTTTTTGAGGTCCCTAATTACGAATCTGATGTCAGATTTTCGAAATTCAAAATGGCGGATGTAATATGGCGACATATTTTTAAAAAATTTAACGGATTTGCTTGAAACTCTTCACTCGGGTGTTTTTAAGGTCGCTTATTACAAATCTGATGTCACATTTTCGAAATTTAAAATTACTGTGGATCTAATATGGTATTATATGTTAGTAAAATCGGAGAACGTAAAATTCGAACATTTAGGGCATAATTTATACACTCTTTTAGTAAAGACAATTTAAAGTTTTATTTTTCTTTATGAACCTTTACACATTTTTCTTCAAAAGATTTTCGTATAGTTGGCTTCGTTTTTAGAATATAATACAGAATCACTTCTTTGCTTATATCTAGACCTGTAAATACATCTTTTCTCAATTTAGATATCTATGGGTGTGGAAATCTTTTTTTCAAGTACGCCAAAGACTTCGAATTTCACGTTTTTCGATTTTACTAACATATAATACCATATTAGATCCACAATTATTTTAAATTTCGAAAATGTGACATCAGATTCGTAATAAGCGACCTTAAAAACACCTGAGTCCCAGGTGCGATTTTTTGGTCGGCCCATAGTTGGGCCAACTTTTACAAAGTCGGTCCAACTTCTCGTGCCAGAGGTTGGGCCAACCATACAGATGATAACGGCGACCGTCTAATGGCGACGATGGTTGGCCCGACAACTCATAAGGAAGTTGGCCCAACTTACAATGCATATGTTGTGCCAACTATACATTTCAATGGTTGGTCCAAAGACTGACGCCAAAGTTGGCACAACTTTAGATGCGTAAGTTGGGCCAACCACAATTTTCAAAGTTTGGCCAACTTCAACAGCCAAAGGTAAAAAATTATTAAAAAACTACATTATTTAAACAATTAACACGTTATTATTAGCGGGAACATCAGATATAACCTTTACCTATTATTATTAAACACAATCTCATACATACATTTTCGAAAATATCTATCGCTCGCTGGGATCGAACCCCTAACCTAACGCACCGAAGACTTATACACTGACCACTACGCTACGCTCACATGGGAGTGCATAACGCAAAATGTATATTAAAGCTGCAACAGTCGGGCC